GTTAATGATGAAGGGAAAAGAGTCCCAGAGTAAGAGGAGGCAAGATGGGATGGCCCCAATAAAACATGCTCATCAGTCGAGCAGCAACGCTTGGTATCACTTTCCCTTTTTTAAAGGATGTTGAAGTAATGATCTTTAAGGACATGGTAACCAATGATTCTTGGTTGACCTCTCCTATCTCGCCCGCTGCTCCCCTCAGCAATGTATTTCAGTAGATCCGTCCACCAGCCAGCACAGCTCCCCCACATGCTTCAAGGAGGAGTGATTGGGCTTCCCGGGTGGCACAGCAGTTGAGCACTGGGCTGCGAAGCTGCCCGCTGCCTCTGCGGCACCGGTTCGATCCCCAGCTGCTCCCCAGCCACCAGAGGAGGGTCCCACATGGCGCACAGACCTCTCCTGCCGCCCGCTGCTCCCCTCAGCAGTGTACTTCGGTCCTTCTGCCTGCTCTGCTCCCTGCTCTGGCTCTGGTGAATTCTCTCACCCTCCCGTGCTTCTGACTGTACCCAGTGCATGTATAAACAAAACAAACAAACAAACAAATAAATAAATAAAACATGCCTCTATAAAAAAAAAAGGAGGAGTGATGGCCAGTGTTTCTGACCTGAAATGAACGCTCACTCTTCTGTCTCTTCTCTCCACCCCTGAAAGATGCTCAGCTTTTTCCCTCCCCTCCTAGTCTCTCCCCTTCTTTCTCTCCCTCCTGCTCTTCTTGCCCCTTCTTTAAAAAAAAAAAAAAAAGATTTTTATTTATTTATGCATCCAGAGATGGGGGGGGGGAGGATTCACCAGAGACAGACTGGGGAGCAGAACAGGCAAAGGAACCGAAATACACTGCTGAGGGGAGCAGCAGGCGAGACAGGAGAGGTCTGCTACGTCATGTGGGTTGCTCCCTGGCCGGTTGGGACTGGTGCTGCAGAGGCTGTGGATTGCTTCATAGTGCTGTGCTTAACCCCTTGCACCACCAGGGAGGCCCTTCTAATCCCTTCTTTTCTCTCTTCTGGCCTCTTTCTCTCCCATTTCCCCCACCCCCAACATCTATTTGCCTAACTGAAATCTATGAGTCTAGTAGAAACAAAACAAAAATCCATGCTCATTGCCACAGATAGCCTAAACTATTTCCCAATATTCTGCCCCCTCCCCAAACTTTCTATCCAAGCTTGAGACTACCAAAGGGGTAGTGGGTTCCGAGACCAGCACACCATTATCACCTGGGAACCTGATAGAAAAGAAGGTGCTGGGGCCCGCAGGAGGAGACCTCCACAGCAGGACCTGGCTGTCTGCTGGCAAAGCCCCGCATGGTTCAGATGCTTGCTAAGGTTTGAGGGCTTCTGATCTAGAACAGTGTTCATAAATTAGGCTCCACCAAGGACTTTAGGGCATCTAAGTTTATTGGGTTTGCATATAAAATTCACATGTGCATAGGGCCTCCCTGGTGGCACAAGGGGTTAGACGCAACTTATGACGTTATCCACAGCCTCTGCAGCACGAGTTCAATCCCCGGCTGGCCAGAGAGCTACCCACATGGCGCAGCAGACCTCTCCTGTCTCACCTGCTGCTCCCCTTAGCAGGGTATTTCAGTCAGTCTGCCCTTTCTGCTTCCTGCACCAATGGCTGGTTGTATGCATAAATAAATCTTTTTTTTTTTTTTTTTACAGAGGCATGTTTTATTTATTTATTTGTTTGTTTGTTTGTTTATACATGCACTGGGTACAGTCAGAAGCACGGGAGGGTGAGAGAATTCACCAGAGCCAGAGCGGGGAGCAGAGCAGGCAGAAGGACCGAAGTACACTGCTGAGGGGAGCAGCGGGCGGCAGGAGAGGTCTGCGCACCATGTGGGACCCTCCTCCGGTGGCCGGGGAGCAGCCAGGGATCGAACCGGCGCGGCAGAGGCCAGAGGCAGCTTCGCAACCCAGCACTCAACCGCTGCGCCACCGGGGAAGCCCTGCATAAATAAATCTTTACAGAAAAAAAAAATATCGTGCCGTCTGCTGAACTCCCGTCTTCCCTCATTCATTAGCCACTTTGGACTCCTACAGTCCTGGCATCGTCCTGGGGGACAGCAAAACCAGGTATGACCCCCCCCCCACTACCCAGCCTCGTAGGCCCTTGACCACCTCATCATCCACATTTAAACTCCTCACGCCACGTCTTTGGATGGGCCACCACCTCTGGGGCCATTCCCTCTGTCCCAGCCGGTGTGGTCACACACCCTCGAACCCCGGGGCTGACCACAAAAGGCGTTTCTCTGCCCACCATGGGACAGTCACGGCTCTGCTCTCTGCTGTCTTCGATCGTGGAGCCAGGCTGAAGGAGCAGCCTCAGTTCCAGGCACACTAGCCCCATGCTGAGGCCCCCTTGGCCCCCCACAAATGTTCCTAAACCCCTTTCGGAAATAGCACACTTCCCTTCCACTCACGTTTCGTTGACACGCTTGCTGCCAGGAGGCAAGGAAACACAAGTCTCTTCAAGACCTGGCTGAGAGAAGTAGCAGATGTTGTGACAATAATGCGCTCTGCCCCAGTCTTTGAAGTCTTTTATTAGAACATCTCCTGCAGAACACAGTGACCTTTCCTTCCTGCTCTCCATCCACTCCTACTAGATCATTCTTCAACTTCATGAAGGCTTTTCCATGCCTGTCTACCCGCTCAGGGAAATGATGACCACAGATAACATTTACTGAACACACAGTCGATGCTGACGTGACATCCATTATCCTGTGAGGGACACAGAAGAAGCAGGCAGAATTGCGAGCCCGGCCTGGGGCATGCAGGCATAGTAATGGCGATCTGCGAGAGGGCTCTTTCCTTCTCCTTCCTTTCCATTGATATTTGCCAATGGCTGGAGGTGGTTTCGTCACAATTGGGAGGAGAGGGCAGCATGCTGCTGACATCTATGAGCGGAGGCCTGGCATGCTGCTCCCCTTGTGGGTTGCTGCGCCTTGTGGGTTGCTCCCTGGCCGGCTGGGGATTGAACTTGTATTGCAGAGGCTGTGGATTGCTTCATAGCGTGGTGCTTAACCCCTTGCGCCACCAGGGAGACCCTTCTTATCCCTTTTCTCTCTTCTGGCCTCTTTTTCTCTAACATTCTGGAAAGCACAGGCTACCAGTCCCCCAACAAACTCTTAGCCAAAACATGGGCAGTGCCGAGGGGGAGAAGCAGCCCTGGGCCGGAGAGGAATGGCCTCAGAAAATCATCTTGCAAACACTTTCCTCACCTGTCCTCTCTCCTGTTCTTCCAAGCACTCAAGTCAGACCCTCTCCTTTCAGGAGCTCATCCCTACTGCCTCCTCTACCCCGCTGCGTTCAGCCACATTAAACTTTCAGTCTTCCAGATGTGGCCTCTGACCTGCTAGAGTCCTAGCTTCCCTCAGAGCTCCGCTCACTCAGCTTCAGCAGGTTGTTCCTAAACTCTTGACTCAATCAGGCACCTCTTAACTGTCTCAGCAGTGTCCGTACTTCCACTATAACATGGGCTACATGATCCCCAAGTGTCTGCAGTATTAGTTTCCTTAAGCCACGAAAGTGGGGACCTTGTTCATCATTTTCACCACTGTATTCCCAACACCTACAAAGTCTAAGGCACCTCTCTGATTTACAGCCCGGTAAATATGAGCTCCTTTTCCACTGGGATCTTCCCCTGTGTAAAAGCCAACACACCCAAAACCAAACCAAATTCATCATTTTTTTACTTCACCACCCCCACCAAAACCTAGACTTTTGCCTCTATTCTTTTTTTTAAATTTATGTATTTATGCAAACAACAGCTGTAGTGTAAGCCAGAGGTGTGGAGGGGGTGAGAGGATTCACCAGAGACAGAGTGGGGAGCAGAACAGGCGGATCCACTGCAATACACTGCTGAGGGGAGCAGCGGGCAAGACAGGAGAGGTCTGCTGCGCCATGTGGGTAGCTCCCTGGCAGGCCAGAGATCGAACTCGTGCTGCAGTGGCTGCCAATAGCTTCACAGTGCTGAGACTTAACTCCTTGTGCCAACAGTGAGGCCTCCTAAAAAATTCTAAAACCTGGAAAGGGTATCCCTGATACTTCAGGAACCACCCCTTCTCCTCAGAGGTGCATCTCTGGAGGCATCACTCACCTGGCAGTCTACGAAGGGTGCCCCCAAAGCAGTATGCATCAGCCGAGAGGCAGCCCCAGCTCAGGACCACTGACCACGTTTCATTCATCTCAATGGCCTTAGCTGTAAGCAAATGGCCTCTTGAAAAGCATGTGGGCTTGCAGGCTTTTTGTGGGCAGGTCCACTTTTGACACCCCCCACTAAGAACAGATTCTGAGGGTCACAGACCAATGGCTTCACTGAAGCTTCTGAAAGTGACTGTAAAACGTTTGGACTTTTTTCTAAGATATTTCATCAGATTCATTAGTTTTTCAAGGAAGGCCATCACCCCAAAGGTGAAGACCCACTGCTAGACACCCTCACTGCTGCTGGCAGGTAAGTGGTTGACATGTATGCTGTGACAAATCTTCCGCAGCTCTTGCACCAGCCCCAGCCCCCACACCCCCCAAAACAGAACCCTGCACCTGGTGGCTATTTGTGAAGCCAATGAAGAGGAAGCCTGTCCGCTCCCCGGGTGCGGTCTCCTCCGCAGCAGTGAGGGCGGACATGTGGACACGCTCACCAGCTCAGAAGAGTGAGATACAGACCTGTGCCCAGAGGGGGCTGGTGAAAATCACGCCAGATACGCAGGTCCCCTATTTTCCAATGCTCGGGGTTCCAGCAGGGAAATAGAACTTCACTGCGTAACTAGCTCAATTAAAAAACACTGCAAAATGGTAGACAGGCAGGAAAGGGAAACCAAAACTGAAATACAATTACTCTAATAGGTAACTGAGGGGGCGAGGGATATCAAAAGTTGCTGTTAATTTTAAATCCAGTAACTTCTACTGCAAAAGTTTGTTTTCATCCCCAAATTAGACCAAAGATTGTATATAAAAGCACAAAATGGGATTCTGCTATCTTACAAACAAAATTACGATTTCCCCAATAATGACGCCACAAAATGGCAAAATGAAAAATATTTAATGTACAAAAAAAAGCACAACAGAACCAATAGGTATTAAAAGCGTAACATAGTGCAAACATCAAGGAGATACAGAGCTATGACTTAGTGGTGCTTCTGAAGATTAGGCAAGAATGCCAGAAACAGGTGCTTGCTTCATTCAGTGAGCTGGCCGCCAGTCACCATAATTTAAATCTTTCTTTTCTTCTCATCTTGTGAATCCACACATGCTAGTCCTGTGACCATGGCTACTGGATCAGACTATGTTACCTGGAAAACTGCATGTTTTCTGTTTACTGACAGTGCATTTTATGCCGCCTAGTCAAGTGCATGTAGAAAGAGAATTTTGTGTATCAAGACACAGCAAGGTAGTTACATCTGCTACAGAGACACACTCCTCTCAAACTCTGAGCGAACACCCCTAGGAGAGAGGTTCACGCCAGAGAGGATGTGGGACAGAGGCCTGGGCAAAAGGAGCGACAGAGGCTCTGCGAGGCAGGCATGAAGGGGTGCTTGTGCTCAGCTACCAGGACATGAGGTATTCTGAGTATTACTCCCGAGCTTGGTCTTATCAAAAATACGACAACTTCTAACATCTCACTGAAGGCAATTCTAGGTCTTTTAGTTGCTCCCCCACAATGAATCCCCACAACAAACGATGAGGTAGAAAGAGAGCATGTTTACTCACTTCACAGATGAGAAAAATGGAGGTCTAAGAAGGTTAAGACTGGGACTAGAGATAGAATATTATTGCTTATCTCTATCCAAGGAGGCACTTATGGTTCCTAGCTATAGACTAAGGAGAGTTCTATTTAGAAGCAGCTGAAGACTTCTACTTTGCCAAGTGCTAGAGGTCAGAAACATTTCATTCTCCCTGGAAAATATTTTCTATTACTTTTAAAAAGAGGAAAGTGGGGGGGGGTAAGAATCAAAAGAGTCATTTTGATGATACTCATCTAAAAGAAAATGAAAAAATGAGGCAAGCTGTAGGGAAAAACAAGAAGCCTCCTGTGGCAAGAGGGATGGCTGACCTCCATTTCTTAGCACTGAGACAACCGGGAGCTAATTTCCCGCACTCCCTCATGCACACAAAGGCAGCCTTGACTACAAGATGAGTTTTATTAGACAGCAGCTCTCAGGCCAGAGCTTCTCATCCTTATTGCTAGAATCCACTACTGAACCCCGCAAGAGACACTCCCTAAGAGCAAGTGTAAAAGACATGAACAGCTACTGCAGATACAACCATCTAGGGGTGAGACAGAAGACCTTTGGTATAAGAGCCATCTCCATAAGCAGGTAATAATTTTGAAGTCTGGGGGGGAAAACAAAATAGGAGGCAGGAAGGGAACCTATCTGACACCAAAGTACTTACTGTTTAAAAAAAAAATGTCTTGGGATAAGAAATTAGGTGCGCTTATAACTCAGTATTATGATAACATTGACTCTCAATAAAGCATTTGCTAAATTATAGCAACTGTCTGAGAAAGGAATTGCTCTGATAGCCCTATTTGGCCCTTTTTAGGATTCTGGACCCTTGCTATGCCAAGAAATAAGGAGTTCCACCAGCAGTGTTATGTACCCAGAAGACGGAAGGATCCTGGATGAAGAAAAGCAATCTGCAGGAGAAGCAGCATTTTGGAGTTGAGATAAGCTACCCAGAAATATGAATTACCTTTTCCTGCAAATATAAGGTTTTCAGTTATTGAAAAGGTTTTTGTTAGCGGTACAATAAACCCCAGTAGAGGTTCACGGTAATCTTTTCTCTAAACAATCATCACAGTCACCAATACTAGCATTACTTGGGATTGCATATTTGTTGCATCAAAAGGTCTCAAAATGCTTATGGGACATTCTCCCAGGAGAGAGGAGACTTGAAGGCTCCTAAAAGGAAAAAAAAAAAAAAAACAGCGATGACAAACAAGGACAGCTCTATCGACAGAAAGGATGTCTCAAAGCAATGTGGAAAAGCTGTCCCCATATTAGGTCTGGGGAGCTACTTTCATGTACTCATTTCCAAGTGTGCTTTAGAGACCTCAAAATTTTTTCTCGTATGTTCAACTACAACTCTGCTAATCACAAGCCTGAGAAGTTCCAGCAAAGGAACCTCAGCTTTCACTATGGCAGTGCAAAACGCTAGATACCATAAACACTGTACATTTACTTTTGCCACAGAGGAGAGTTTGCAGGGGCCTCTATCTGTGAAGTGCAGCTAGCTCCTAGCTACAGCCATTCTAGCACGGGCACAGGCAGCTTGCCCATGCGTGTGTGCACAGCAATGGCAGAGCCAACGAATGAGTTCTTTACAACATGGGTCTGAATGATCTATGCAGACACTCTGCTAAATGGAAAACAAAAGATTCACAGTATCTAAAGCCACGTATTTCAGAAATTCACATAACTCTCTATGGGAGAAAAACCCAAAAACCTGGTTAACAAGTTTCCTCTTTCCTAAAGAGAATTAAGAGGTACACAACATGAGCTGGAACAATTTGTCATCACCTTTTCAAAGAAGTCAACATTGCATTGAATTGACATTTTAAAACATCACAAATGATGCAACGTCAAAATTAAATTCTTATAAACAAAATATCATACAAAGCATTACACACATCTAAATAAACATAAGTTATAATTAAAACACAGCTGCATATTTCAAATGCTTGGCAGTGATTCAATATTACATTAGACAAGTTCATGGCAGTTTTGAGGCTGGCATGGCTGGACTCTAATCCACTGTTCAAGCCCAGGATTAAGAACCTATTATATTGTACAGAAGGACTATGGATAAATGGTAATATTAATGTAAAGGGTTCATCTAAGATTTTTTTAATAAAGTCTGATTTAAGTATTAAATACAAAGCTTACCAGACACAGTGCAAGTAGAGGCAGTTAATATTAAGATATGGAGGACAATTGTAGCTACAATCTAGAAATTCAATGTTTTTTCTAATGTCATTTCTGCTCTGAATTTCATTCAGGATAACAAGACCATAAATATGAAATAAGTAAAACAAGAAGTTTGATGCTGATGGGAGATGATTCATTAATCACAGGTCTGTGGTGTGGTACATGACACTGAATCCCACTGACATCTACTTTAACATTGTCCTCCTCACAATCAAAATTTCAACTCAAGCAGTTTGCCTATAAGTAGGATGAGCACATGATATAGTTTAATGTTCAAATGGAGACATGTGAGGGTGAAGGTGGAGAGGAGACAGACCAGACAGGATGCTGAAAACAGTAGTATATTGGTGCTGTATCAGAAAACCAGTCTACGGGCACATACCTACGGCTAAAGGTAAATGGTAGTGTTTGAAAATCCAGAGTTTCTTCGCCTGTTAATACTAACCATGAAGATTCCCTACACAAACTAGGCAGTCTTAGTGGCAGTAAAACTTTTTTTTTTTTTAAATAGAGGCATGTTTATTTATTTATTAATTATATTTGTTTGTTTGTTTTGTTTATACATGCACTGGGTACAGTCAGAAGCGCGGGAGGGTGAGAGAATTCACCAGAGCCACAGTGGGGAGCAGAGCAGGCAGAAGGACTGAAGTACACTGCTGAGGGGAGCAGCGGGTGGCAGGAGAGGTCTGCGCACCATGTGGGATCCTCCTCCGGTGGCCGGGGAACAGCCGGGGATCGAACCGGCGCCGCAGAGGCCGCGGGCAGCTTCGCAACCCAGCGCTCAACCGCTGCGCCACCGGGGAGGCCCGTGAGTAAAACTTCTGTACCGCAGCACAACGCCTCTACAGAGCACTGCCTGAGTGTAAAAATACTTCCAGTGGCATCAAACAAAGGAAACGAGAAAAAAGATCAAGATGAGCAATTTCCTCAGATACAGGTGAGATTCAGTTTAAACTCACAGTTTCTTCTAAATAGTGCTAATGGAAGCGGTGAACAAAGGCAGGAGGATGAAAGCTGAGGCACAGGATTCCGTGCGGGGCTAGGATGTACCAGAACTACTGTTATAGGACAGCCCCGATATAGAACGGGTTCCTGGCTCTGGGTCCTCACCCGTGCGCTTAAAAGGGACTTATTAATACTCCACTACAGACACCACAAAGCCTGTATGGAATTAGCTTTAGGACATCCTTTTCCCCCTAACACTACCATGAGATAGCTACAAACACAAAATTTTTAACATTTCTTAAATTTTCTTTAAAAAAAAAAAAAAAAAAAAAAAAAGCAGGTTATATAAGGGGAATCATACAAACACACACACACACACACACACACACACGCGGCACAAGTGCTCATGTCCATCTCTCCCTACAAACACTTGACCAGTAAATAGAAAACAAAATGGAAGGCACTTAAACTATTAGCAAAATAGTGGATTGAAGGGGGAAATGCAAAGGGACTTATCTGAAGTTTTAGAGCATTTACCACAGTCCAGGGAGCACTGGCCTCGCAGGACTGGTTCTACTTGTCCCCAGTGCCTGGAGACCCAGACCTGGAACAGTTTAATTCCTCAGGTATAGGAAAAACAATGGAGAAATAGTTCAAGTTCCTCTGCTACCTTTTCCTGTCCTCCTAGTGGGAGGAGTAAGTTAACTGTCCTTCTAGGACAGTGCTTCCAAAAAGGTGGTCCTAGACCAGCACCAGTTTCCAGGGACACTTGTTCAAATGGAAGTCCCTGGAGGGAGGTATGGGGTGTGGGTGTGTGTGGGTGTGAATGTGTCAGGGAGTTAGCTGGGCTTTGCTGAACATGCAACCCAGGTGACTCTTATGATCCTTAATTTGATCAATCCAGGGCCTCAGTTTTCCAAACGGCACGTTCATACCCTTTGATACACATCAAGATTTTTTTTCCCTATGGGAAAAGCAGATAGGGCTATCTGTAAGGAAATCAATTTAAAGATCTTCAATTTCTATATTGTCCCAAGAGTTATCACAAATAAGACCTCTTCAGATTTGCCATTTTTCTCTAGAGGCATCAAACATGACAACACAAAAGATGAGGGAAAAACCCCCATAGGACTCTCAAGGCACACTGAGGACAGACTAAAGTAAAGAGAATTTTGGTGGAAAATTATCTATCTTAGAACTATAATTGAGATGGTTGTATCAGAAATGTGTGTTAATGCATTTATTTGAGTCAAAAAGAAAATCAATTATTTTCTGACTGAAAGCGAAGTCTGATTTGGCTGATTAATTTTATAACAAGGTCAGACTTTGCCAGTTTATATGATAGGACTTTTTCTATAAATTTAATCACTTAAATCTATAGCTCCACAGTTTGGACAAAAATATCTTTAAAGCACATACACAACTAGTATACACATTTTAAGTACCTAAACTTATTTTAAGAAATTAGAAGTCAAATTAAACATGTGCAAAAAGAAATCTAGGATGAGATTCACAAAATGGTGGAGGAAAGAAACATAAGGGAATGTTCTGAGGTGACAGAAACATTCTCTAGCTTGTCTGGTATAGTTACTAAGATGTCAACAATCCAGCAAAAGGGAACAATGAATTAGTGATTATACCTCAATTTTTTTAAATCTGCAAAATGTTATATAAACTTTTTCAAAACTTAGGGAGTATTTAGCAAAAATGTTTGATACAATTATTCTAGGCACATGTGGAAGAGAGTTCTTGTTTTCTAAGACTTTCCTTTTGCTCTCTGACTCATGCAGCCTGACTGCAACACAAAGTGATCTGTAGCACTATAATATCACTGGACTAATCAAATCATTTATGCTTTTTCACTGTTAGCTTTAATATTTTTCTAATAGACACTTTGGATTTTGATGCCTAAGAACATTCTCTAACAGAAGAGTAGGGATTAACTAAAAAAATTAGACTTCAAGTAATTTGGTGAGTGAGTGAATGAATGTGTTGCTTATACTGGTAGGTGCTCCCAGATCCTCATCTTCAAAGGAAGAAGTCATTCACATATTTCTTCATGTCAATGGAGTCCCCAAATTGATAATCTAGTTTTAAAGCACTCACTCTCAAATTACATGTAAATTTATAAGCAAAACTGTCCTGGAACACAGATGTTTGCACGAATTAATGAATGGATGCAATGGGTCACACTGAGTGGAGAGGCTCAACACTGATGTTTTGGTACATGGCCAGACGCTATTAATATTTCTTTGCAATTCATTGATTCAACTATGCTATAAAAACCTTAATAACCAACTGAATCTCTTTCTTGCAAATAGGGCATGAAGCCCCGGCCTTCTTTAATCTTCTAGCACAGTGAAAACAAGTGACAAGATGGCCTGTCCTCCCATGAATAATGTTTCCATCTCGTGGTCTTTTCTCACACAGACTACATGGCTTCAAGAGATTCTGGCAATCCTCCATGTTTTCTGCATCGGCTCTCTGTTCAAAAAGGTTATCTGATTGTTTGCCCATGCTTGATATAGTTTCTTGGCTTTCAGAACTGTGGGCCAAATCCAAGAATTCCACCGAGTTGCAGGAATCAAAACGTCTGGGGTTTTCTTCCTTTTTGTATCCATCTTTAGGTCTAACAACTGGAGCTGATACGGTTCTTCGGCAATCAGGGACATCAATTCCTTCATTTTCCTTTTCTGGTATGGCAGTGATATCAGACGTGGAGAGAGAATGGGTTAACTTAGAACAATCTGAATACCAATCCTTCCTCAAGGCCCAGCAACGAAAACAGTACCTCTTGCTTGGAGAGTTAAATTTCTTGCACTCAGTACACTGCCACTCATCCTACAAAGACAAGCACAGCCAGTGAATACTCACTTGGTGGTGAACAAGACATTGATTAAGCAGGTGGGGAGGTCAACTCCTCATTATGTCTCTAAGCTGTGAGAGTTCAGACACTCCACACCAGTGGTCTAGCCTGGAATCTGAACAAATTCTACAGCTACATATAAGAAACTCTTGAAAAGTTGTATACTGATAGTAATACAATTACATTTCAAGCCAGAATTTGATATCTCTATCCCCAAGAAAGTTAACTGTTTTGGCTTTCTGACTTGGGTGGAACTGCTTGTTTTTTTTCCCCACTGCTTTCTTTTCTAGGTTCATTTCTCTGTGCAATTTACACATTTATTAAACAAAGATGCTAAAGAATGAAAAAGAGAAAACAACTCATTCTTGCCTAATTAACAAATGTCTAAAATTTGGCAAAAAGCAAGCTAAAGTTAAAATGAAATTTGAAAGCTACTAAATTTACTCAAGTTCTCTCACTGCTCTCAGGAACAGGTAGTTGTATACCTAAATCACACTCTCTAAAAAGTCAATTTTTTTTTAAGACAAGATTTTTTTTTAAAGATTTATTTATTTATGCATATAAGAACTTGAGTACAGGCCAGAGGTGCAGGGCGTGAGAGGATTCACCAGAGACAGAGTGGGGAGCAGAATAGGCAGATTGAGATATACTGCTGAGGGGAGCAGCTGGCAAGACAGAAGAGGTCTGCTGGGCCATGTGGGTCAGCTCCATGGCTGGGGATCAAACTAATGGCACAGTGGCTGTGAAAGCTTGATAGCTCCAAAACTTAACCCCTGTGCCACCAGGAAGGCCCCCCACTCCCACCCCACCAAAAATTAATATTCTTGTCCTTGAATGCCAAGTAATTTTTTTCCTACTTCTCCATATTCAAATGAGGTAAAACCAGAGCCCAGTGAATTTTAAATGGCTTGCTTAATTCAAAGGTAACTACCCAGAACAAGTCAAAAGTATTTAATGTGGGTAACTGGCTGCCTTTTCTAGGATCGATGATTTGATACAGGCTGACTTGATTACTTTCAGAGTCTGGGCCAAGCATTTCAAGTTTAGAAGTCATAACTCAATTGCCTAGACTGAAGGCAGGAATATGACCATTTGTTAAACTGTGATGTTCTCTAGAGAGCCTCAAAACATTCTTGCCAGATACTCAGATTTTACTTAAAATGCTATATAAATATTCAAAGGAACTTCATAAAGATTTGGAAATGATAATTGATGATGTCTCATAATCTACTTTCTCCTTTTCAGTAGTACATAAAATAACAGGACTTATTAAATTCAATGGAATCTTTGATTTGATGAAGTATAATCTATTTGCTTAATAGGTTTTCTAGGCCTAAGCAGTCACAGAAGTTTGATTAAGATGGATACACTTATCTCTGCTATTTGTATTATGGTCAAGAACACTTAATGGACTGATATATTCCATTTTATTACTTAGCTATACACAGATAATTTGCAATGTATCATCATAATGGTGAACAAGGAAGGAGGTAGGGGGGTTGAAATCATCACTAGTGACAACCTAAATATTTTCTATTCATCAGCAGCAACATATAAAATCTGTTCTCTTCCCCATCACCTTTCTTCCCAAAGTATATTACCTAAGAGAAGCATTTAAAGGACATTAGAGAACAAGCATGAAAATCGAAAAGTAAGGTATATATTTGAGTTTAGACATGAGTGTCAATTGGTGATAAATCCAAACCTACTACCTAACAGCTTAAAGCTGAATATTAGTCTGCCTCAAATGTAAATGTGTGGATTCATGTTTCCTTTTAAGAAAGCATTAAACATTTCCCATGTTTCCTTTTAAGAAAGTATTGAAGATACAATTTTTACACTTGATAAAGAATTTTAGGTAGCTTATAGATCTGCCTTTGGGGTTACAAAGAGGTATTTAATGGGAAAGTAGTACAGAACTATTTTAAATAACTTGTGTATCCAATGCAACACATTCGAAGAGTTTTGATAGTAGGTAGAGAGGCAAAAAGAGGCAGTATCATCTCTTTCCAAGGTAGGGAAGCGCAGATCAAGTCTCCCCCATTTCTTCCCAAATTCCAATAAAAATTTATAATAAGATGTGGAAACCGACATCTCTACAGAGCTAGAAAAGGTAGGTGGAAACCGGGCTGAGGATAAAAGGTATTCCTAAGCACAAGTGAACTGCTACAATTGTTAAAAGCTGAAGATGTGGGTGGTCCTAACAGCCCTTTTAGTATAGACTCATACCTCAGAGGTAACTTCTACATCAGTATCATCACTTAGGGACTTAGAGTCTTCAAGGTCATCATTTTTCCCCACTTCAAACAGCTGTGAAGGCAAAGATATCTCATTAGTAAGGTTTACCTATTTTAGATGAGGCTACCACCTGAAAGCAAAAAAGACAGAAAAGCTTCAATTTAAAACTCACATTCTGTCTCTATCACTAGCACTTAAAAAGTAGACAGCTTAAGTCTGAGGGCAAAAACGTGACTCTGCACACACCTAGCAGGACTTTCAGGAGCATCAATGACTGAGCATGGGGAGGCTTGAAGGGGGAGGGCTACCAAATCACCTTCTGCCTCCAGAAGGGAGAGGCTGACACAAATTTGTGAATTTAAAGAAAATAAACAGTGTCAGAGTAGAGATGCTACGTAAATATGGAAATTTTTTCTTAGGAATCTAGGTAGGTAGGCATTCACAAGGACCCTGTGACAAAATGATAGTGAAAAGCACTGTATAAAATAAGGGACTTAGATGCAAAGACTGAAAATGGAGTATTTTAAGTTTTTACTTTTCATATTCAAAAGTAAAACCAGTTATGCAATTCTCTGGCTGTCCTAGAAAAGCATGCCCATGGACCAGGAAACAAAGTCAAAAACTGCAGGAAGTGTCTTCTAAATTAAAAAGTTTAGAATTAAACTCCATATTCCAGAAATGTAAGCATTACCAAAAAGGTCAATAAATAAAATAAAAAGGAGGAGAGAACTTAAAATACTAAAAATTAAAAGCCTAGTTCTGCAATGCAAAACACAATAAAACCAAGTATGACAAAATTGTAAACTTCTGTATAGAAACTTTTTTTTTTAAAGAGGCACGTATTTTATTTATTTGTTTGTTTATTTATTTGTTTGTTTGTTTATACATGCACTGGGTACAGTCAGAAGCATGGGAGGGTGAGAGAATTCACCAGAGCCAGAGCGGGGAGCAGAGCAGGCAGAAGGACCGAAGTACACTGCTGAGGGGAGCAGCGGGCGGCAGGGGAGGTCTGCATGCCATGTGTGACCCTCCGCCGGTGGCCGGGGAGCAGCTGGGGATCGAACCGGCGCTGCAGAGGCCAAGGGGAGCTTCGCAACCCAGTGCTCAACCGCTGCGCCACCGGGGAGGCCCCCTGTATAGAAACTTTCTCACAAAAGTTAAGTACTTTGAAGTCCCATCTCTCTGTAGAAGTTTCCAAGTGTCACCTTTGGCTTCATTCTAGCCACTTGATTTGCATACAACAAGTCTAACAAGAAATCCAAGCACCTCTTTGCTAATCACAAAAATATCAGAATATCCTTTAGAACTCCAAATTACTCTGAGAATCTTTTAAATTAAAAGGATGATACAATTTGGGTTTATTTCTTGCTATATATACTTAATGTTTACCAAGAATCTTGTCTGTGTCAGGAGTTGCCTGATTTGAGAATTGAACACATGCTTGTAGGACTCTTCATCCCAAAATCTCCCCCTATTGTAACTAAACTACATTAGAACTCAACTGTTTTTTCCCCCAGATATAAAGTTATATGGAAGCTACTACAATGTCTAAGAAATAAAAAATTTTCCCTACAGGCTCTTTTGGCTATTTAGAACTTTGCCTTCTTAGCAAAGCAAGATTTCTGGAAGAAAAAACACCAAAATGAGAAAATAAGCATTCAGGAAAAGGTAGGTAGTTTATTTCTTCTAATGAGGTAGAAGCTTTATGCATGATTGTATCTTATTTCTAAGGCAGTCTTGGTTAACTTAATGTTGGACATAAGAGAATACCAAAAAGGAAAATAGGGGGACCGTGTGAGTCACTTGTACAAAAAGGTATGGGTCACCAGATCTGAACAGGTTCACGATTTTCCCACAACAAACCTTTTTATCTCTCACTTTCCCTACTTCTTCAGACTGTTCAGTATCTGTAGCTTCAACTTTTATTCCAACACCAAACTGCTCTGACACGGACTCATTCAAAAACCACAAGTCATCTGTGGTATCTGAAACAATGGCCGTACCTATATCCTAGTAGAACAAAAAACAAACAAGAGTTTTGTAGTCAGAGGCTTATCAAAGATGCTGAATAAACATACATGAACCCAAACTCAATGTCTTCACATATGCCTCAAAGAACGCCCAGCCTTTAACATCTATTCATTCAGCAGATATCTACTAGACACCTACAAGCTAATAGATGGATATAAAGGTATCTAGCAAGGAATTTTCAATTTTAATGGTATGTCAGATTTAATAGTAAATCAGGTAAAACTCTTGAGAAGTACCAAAGAGCTTAAAAGGCAGGATTCATTGTTGCTCAACCAAAAAGAATCCATTTCTTACATTCCTTTCCCACAGGTGACGCTCTAAGAAGTTAGAAAACATTACATTGTGACATGCTTTCCTTAATAGTTAGTGATGTTTATTGAAAAAATATGAGAAACACAGAGGGTAACGCAGACTTTTTGTCCTTTCTGAATTCTTAAACAATTTAATTTTATTTCTACATTTATCTACATTTATGACATGCTTTTTACAATATTCATAAAAGACAACTTATTCTGCCACCATTATATACCTATTCATCAACTGAACACTGAATGCCTACAATGTGTCAGATATTGTTCTAGGTATTAGGCAATAGAAGAGCAGTGAATATAAAAGCCATGGACTTGATTTCGGGGGGAGATATAGACACAAAAAGTCTAGTAAGTTGTACAAAGTGAAAAGTGCAATGAAGAATATAAAATAAGTTAAAGGAGTGTGATGAGGATGGCTTGAATTAGGGTATGACAGTGAAAGTGGTTAGTAAAAAGTGGTTAGATTTCAGATACATTTTGGATCAAAAACTGCTAATCTTGACAAAGAAATCAATGCTGTCTTATGACATCTGGCTGGAAACACTGAGTGGAAAGTAGACAAGACAAATGAATGGTTAGAAAGAAGTATTTGGTTAAAAAAAAAATCAAGACTCAAGAGTTCTGTTCTGAATTTGTCAAATGTCAGATCATCTAAGTGGAGGTGTTGAATGAGCAGGAACCTGGGCATGAAGTGGAGAGGTCAGGGCTGAAGATAGAGACTGAAGCATCACAACACACAGATGGTACTAGACCAATAGCACTGCACGAGAACTCTTAGACAATGCATTGTGCAGTCAAGAGTAACCAAGTTTGCTATTCTTTCAAAAGAACTTCCCCCTCAAATGTGAAATTTACCTGATTTGTCTGTAAATCAGTTGAGCCATTACTTCTAGGTGTATAGTTGTTTCTCAAGTTTCCTAAAAACCACCAAGGAAGGCCGGCTACATCCCACTCCTCAAACCCAAGGTCCAGTCTAGAGGTCTCATCTTGAGTTAAATTTTCTATCAAGTCTTCATCTATAGATGTTAAAAGAATGATAACTATGTACACAGCACTTGAAAATTTAGACTCTTTATAATACTCACAATACTTTATAAGTAAAAAGAAATTTTTACTCCCAGTGAGAAATAATCAGAAATCAAATAGCTGTCTCGGTAGCACACCCCAAATCTCCTCCCATTTAGGCTTCATTAGCAAGTAATGTCATTAGAAGTAGAGGATCATATATGAAGAAATATAAACTATGAAAAGTACTAAACAATGATACCGCTCTAAAAGAATGTCTAAAAAGTCATTTAGTGGCATTCTCAACATTCAGAGCACTACAATAACTAGAAAATGATTTGGTCAAGCACAGAATGCCTGATGATGGCATGACCCACTGGACTGAAAACTGGCGATGGCACAAAGACAGAAGCAAGGTGGCATGAATAAGAATGGGCCATCACAAGGTTGTCAAAGCAGTCTCATTGGCACATCCGATACTTTGGAACATTTTTCAAAAATTCATGTTTTAAAGTACAAAACACTGAACCCCAGGTTTCCTAAGTATGTATGTTAAGAACTTTCTAGCTCAATGGGCTCTACTGGAGTTAAGATACCTAACAACTAGAAATATTTCAAGGGAAAAAAATCTCCAGTTGAACATCAAAATGATATTCAGGGCAGTTGTTAACCAGTTTGTCGCTAACAAAGTTTTTTCTTTCATTCCCACTATCCCAATGTTTTGTGGCGCTTTCCGACTGTCCTACTTTCTTACTCTCCTCTACCTCTTCCCAGATGATTGAAAAAATTTCTGTAATAAATGGGTCCCTGCCAAAACAAAGGATTACCCTATCTACTTAAAAAGTATGTCAATCCCACCTGCTAAAAGGCTTATCTGTATCCAGGGAAACTAAAACCACCTCTGTTCCTTACTCACTACTAAAATTATCAGAAACCGAATTTCTGAGTTGAGACTTATTAAATGTTATCTTTATCTAGTCAAGCTCTATAACTTTATTGTAAATGGACTGGAAATGGGTCATTCTTTCCTCATATAAAAATTCTGTCCTTTCTACTTGTATACCTTCCTTGAAGGCTAAGCTATTTATTCTCAGCAAACTACATACAGTCTCCTGAATTGGCTTTTTCTTATAAATAGCTTTTTGAGTTGAAAATGGGCAAGGACCTGAAGAAATAAAAGTACACATTTAACGCCACACAGAGAGGACTAGCTCCAAGGTAACTAGGCAGCCTCTAACTCTTCAAATGCAATTTGAAGAAAATTATCCAAACTGATCGAAGTTCAATGAACATTTAAATCTGTTTAAACAGCATAATGAGCAACTTGGATGTTGCCAGAGGCTTAGCCTGCCATTGCTTTAAGTTTGAGGCAGGTACCTAAACAAGAAACCATCATGCCACAAAATACCCCTGAGGTACTTATGATTTTAAACATCTTTGTAGAAAGTTTTAGAGCTCTTTTATAAAGTAGGGTTTGGGGGAAACTTTCAAAATATCAATTAACTCATACAGTCCAGCCACACCTAAGGATGCGGCAAAGATCTGATAACAACCATACAAGGACAAAGAGCGACTAGGTTTCTTATGTTCATTCTTGGCTCTAAGTCATTAAGTATATTTACCACTACTGCAAACTTCAAAAATCTAAGAAAATTAGCCTCTGGCAGACAAATCAAATAAAATTTCTAACCTGGTGGAATACATTCAGGGACAATTAAAGCTCAAGGCAGCTTGAGTTACCAAGTTGCAAACTTGAGACATGTGTAGCTAATTTCTATTAGCATGTGAAAAAGGTTTTCTGAAAAGAATGAGAAATAAGTATGACCTACACCCTTGTACTCCATACGTAAAGAGACAGCATTATTATTATTAGAATTCTCTTAATATCTGGTTTTAATTATAGTAAGTGCTTAACATGGATAGCCATTTCTAAAAACTGGAAGAAGGGGAGGGAGAGAAGGAAGGATAAAAGAAATAGGGAGGAAGGGAAATCGACATAGACTTAATCCAAAATTACCTCCTCTAGAATTTCTGCACTTATGCTGTGAGGTAGGCAGTGTGGGGAAATTGCCTTCTTCAGTTCTCTTCCTGGAATTGGAACTTTCTTCTGCACTTTGCTGAAAAAAAGGGAAAGGTACCAATCAGTGCGAAAGAAATGACTGAGACCAGGGGATGTAGCAGTTCTACTCTGGCTCACCAGTTAGTGTGCAACACAATGGGTTACGCACAAGAGAATTCTGAAATTCACAACAGTCATCAAATAAAGGCCACACCTCTCAACCCTCTGCAGCAGAGGTAGGAGAATCCCAAACCTGGGGGGAAAAAAATCTCTGCACAAAAGGCCAAAATCTGTTAGAAACAGGCTATAAATATAATACCTTATTACAAAAGTAGGCATAATTCAGAAAACATGTGACGCCTTCACCATATACCAAGATAATCATAAAGTTTTCCCAGGTTTGGGGAGCTCTAAGAAATGGCCTGACAAGAACTTAACTACAACAAGTTTGTTAAAATCTAATGAAGCAGTTTTCTCAAACACCTTGTACATACACCATCACACATACAGGCACACATAAACCCCAAAGAAAATGTAACTGGAAGAACTGAAGATCAGAAGTGCTACATCCCAAAGAAAGATTCAGAGACTGGAACTCTGTTATGGGCAGAACAGAGAAGGTTCACTCTGTCCCTGGTCTGTGAACTCCCAAGAACCTTTCTTGTTAAATTCTTACCACATTCAGGAAAGGACTTGGGAGTCCAAGAGCCACAGGTACAGAGAAGGGGCCACTCTGTACAACAAAAGAGGTCACCGTGTGGTGATTTTACCTGCAGTTGGTCTTGACCTGGAATATCCATACTGTGATCCTGTGCGAGAGCGAGAGTCTGAGCAGCATCTGGATAGCAAGTGAAACAAAAGGAAAACCTTCCCTGGTAATAACCATTCTTTCCACAGAGAAAGGACCTCAGCAAACAACCCTGGAGCCAGGTGTGGTCCCTAGAAATGTACTTTTCCACGTTGCCTGGACAAGGCTCTCATCCAAAAAGAAGGGAAAAAAACTAATAAAAATGGCAAAGACTAAAACAGACTACTTTCAAAATTTACTGCCAAAATCTAATCTGGGGAAAATGAAAAATGGCTAAAAAACGTTTTTTCCATAACAAGCTTTCAAATTTTAATATGAGAACTGAGGTCAAGGAGCAAATAATGGAGAGTATTTTTATCATCTCTTCCTAAAGTTGTTTATTACCAAGTGTGCCTAAGATATAAACAACAACAACAACAACAAAAAAGGTTTGACTTTTTAATTTTTATTTTCTTTCTTTTTTTTTTTTTAAAGATTTATTTATTTATTTGTTTGTTAGGGACTTATTTATTTATACAAGCACTGAGTACAGTCAGAAGCGCGGGAGGGTGAGAGAATTCACCAGAGCCAGAGCGGGGAGCAGAGCAGGCAGAAGGACCAAGGTACACTGCTGAGGGGAGCAGCCAGAGGTCTGCGCGCCATGTGGGACCCCTCCTCAGGTGATGCAGCCGGGGATCGAACCAGCGCTGCGAGGCTGCGGGCAGCTTCGCAACCCGGCGCTCAACTGCTGCGCCACCAGGGAGGCCCTTTAATTTTTATTTTCAAGTGTTAAAATTATACAGGGTTGTGAGATTTGAAAATCTGGAATTTTCCCCACATGCTTCTTAACAATAGCATCCTTCATGTAAACCTACATTCTAAGTGTTGATTTCACAATTTAAATTCCCATCACCTGAATGCAGATTATTTTTTTTAAACATTTATTTATGCATACAAGAACTGGGGTACAGGCCAGAGGTGAGGGGGCAGTGAGAGGATTCACCAGAGACAGAGTGGTGAGCAGAACAGGCGGATTGACTGAAATACACTGCTGAGGGGAGTAGCGGGTGAGACAGGAGAGGTCTGCTGCACCATGTGGGTTGCTCCCTGGCCGGGGATTGAACTTGTGCTGCAGAGGCTGCAGATAGCTTCTTAGTACTGTGCTTAATCCATTGCACCACCAGGGAGGCCCTGAATGCAGATTATTTTTTTTTAATAAAAAAGTTTTACTTTTCCCAGTTAGAGGAGGCAGTTAGTTTTTCTCAAGGTCAATTAAAAGAAGCAGAGGTAACAATAACCTGATAGATATTCTTAGTGTAAAAGAAACATATTTCAAGGACTTGAAAAATTTTCAAGCAGAACAAAAGATGAAAACTTAGCTATAGGAAAAGATCACTCACTACATGAAGCTCTGTGCAACCAAGATGCACCCAAGTGAGTCTATCCTGTGCTGGTGCATCAGCAACTGCAGTCTCGGAAGAAAGACACTCATGGAGGATAAAGACAGGCAGAGAAAGCGCACAGATCCTACAAGTGGTCTGACAATTCAGTTGTTTTGCACAAAGTTAACATTTTCAAAATTACTGACAACATTATTTCTAAAAGCATTTTTTATAGCTATAGATACTGAGAAGTTTGAGAGACAAGATTTTCTGACCACAAGGAGCTTTATCCTTTATAGCTCAACAGCCTTACAATCTTTCCTAGGTTAAAACAATTAGAAACAAAAATAAATCTGGTGAAACAGATAATGTACAAAGGGATTTTAAAATAAGGTTTGGGCCTCCCCGGTGGCGCAGCGGTTGAGCGCTGGGTTGCGAAGCTGCCCGCAGCCTCTGCAGCACCAGTTCAATCCCCGGCTGCTCCCCGGCCACCGGAGGAGGGTCCCACATGGCGCGCAGACCTCTCCTACCGCCCGCTGCTCCCCTCAGCAGTACACTCAGCAGTGTACTTCAGTCCTTCTGCCTGCTCTGCTCCCCGCTCTGGCTCTGGTGAATTCTCTCACCCTCCTGCGCTTCTGACTGTACCCAGTGCATGTATAAACAAAACAAACAAACAAACAAATAAAACATGCCTCTATTAAAAAATAATTAATTAATTAATATAAGGTTCACCATTTATTTTTCATTGCTTTAGCATACATGTGGAAAATAAAGAATTATAAAAAAATTTAGAGAAATAATTTTATAAAGAACTACCTTAACTTTAAATAATGGCATTTTCTTCAGCCATAAAATAAAAGCTTTAACTTATTTTTTAATGGTGTAAAACAGGTGACATGGGAAGCAATGTCAACCAATGCACGTCTAAGTAAGAGCAAACAATCAAAATTACTTTGGGGCAATTCCCTAATTTTAATCATTGTACTATGGTTATATAAAGATGTCACCACTTGGGGAATCTGGGTAAAGAGTATATGCAACTCTTTATAATACTTTTTAGCAACTTTTTTTTAAATAAAATTATCTCAAAGTGACAAATTAAATAACAAAATGTTTTGAAGAATTAACATTATGAAAAAAATATGTTGAAAACTAAGGGAAGTTCTTTCCATTACAAGCAAGAGCTAGGGGGCCTCCCTGGTGACGAAGGGGTTAGTCTCAGCACTATCTCTGCTGGGGCCTGAGTTCAATCCCCAGCCAGGGAGCTACCCACATGGCGCAGCAGACCTCTCCTGTCTTGCCCACTGCTCCCCTAAGCAATGTATTTCAGTAGATCCACCTGTTCTGCTCCCCACTCCATCTCTGATGAATCCTCTCACCGCCTCCCACCCCTCTGGCCTATACCCCAGTTCTGTGCCTAAATAAACAAATCTTTAAAAAAAAAAAAAAAAGGGTTAAAGGGACACTAAAGAATGATGAAAAGAGGGCCTCCCCTGGTGGCGCAGCAGTTGAGCGCTGGGCTACAAAGCTGCCCGCAGCCTCTGCAGTGACGGTTAGATCCCTGGCCGCTGGCGAGGGTCCCACATGGCGCGACAGACCTCTCCTGTCCCGCCCACTGTTCCCCTCAGCAGTGTATTTCGTCAGTCTGTCTGTTCTGTTCCCAGCTCTGGCTCTGGTGAATTCTCTCACCCTCCCGCACTTCTGACTGTACCCAGTGCTTGTATAAATAAAAAAAAAAAAAAGAATGATGAAAAGAGCAAGGACTGCCCATTCAGAAACAGATGCACCACCACTCATCAGTGGCATCTGATCTTAGGCAAACCATTTATCTAATTTAAAAAAATCCTCAGTGTCTCCATTTCCAGACCTTTCTCACAAGGTTGTTAAGAGGATCAACTGAAATACTTGTTATAGAAATGTTCGTTTTAATATACAGCATGTTAAATTCTGCAAATGAAGTAAAAGAAAGAAAATGAGAGGGTAAGAGTTATATCTCCTCTGGATATTCAGACAACAGATCAGAGCAAATCTGAGAAAAAGAGTAGATGCGCAAATATAAAATCCTCTGTTTATTTCAAGTTTTTAGTGACAATCCCTGTAAACCACACTATTTCACAAGTGATTGCCTTCCCCCTCAAACAGAAATTTATAACTGGGTAACACAGGTAGATTGTCAATGAAACTAAGCAGTTCCAAAATTCATTGTAAGTTCAAAATCATATTTCAATATCAAAGTAGTTTCTTTACTCTCACTTTAAAGCATAAATTTTCATTAGGAACAAATTCTTTTCAACCTATTTGTTTCAGGAAACTACTGAAAGATAGCCAATCAATAGGGATCACAAGCTTGGGCTTTCTCCAAAGGACAATGTTCCCGAGAATCTAATTTGAAATCCATACAAGGGTTTCATGTAGGAACAGGGAAACAAAAAGTTTCATTACTTGGAAATAAGTGTGAGATAGTTACAATTTAGTCATGTCCACTTTATTCACTGATCTCTAATACACTGCACTTCAGACCCAAAAGCAGTTTCCTGCAATACCTAGTAAGTTAAACTCAAAAGGCAGTACTTAAAAGTATGGAATCAAGCAAAAGGTTAGACAAGTTGGCATTCAAAAGAGAAGTGCTAAACACATAAAACATCACCACAAGGGTACAATCTACAAACTCTAAAATGCTGGAAATTCTAAAGAAAAAATAATCCATTTCTTCAATAAATGATACAAAAACAAAAGGAGGGTTAAGTTTTAGAGATAAAAGATACTTAAAAGACATGTCAGCCAAATGCAACATATGAAATTTGTTTAAATCTGGATTTAAACAACTCAAATGTAAAAGATGTTTCTGAGGAAACTGAGAGAAACTATACATAAAATGGCTATTGGACAGTATTATGGAGTTATTTATCATTATTAATTTTGTTGCATGTAATAATGTTACAGTAATGGTCGGATTTTACAAGTATGTATAGGTGAAGCAAATATGGCAAAATGTTAACAATCACTAAGTCTAACAGGAGGGTACTAATGATACTAATCTATTTTCAGGATTAACTGGAAAGTTAAATAACACAGCAGTAACCAACTGCACAAGCCATCCCTCCCAGTCGCGCCCTGATGGCCTTCCATGCCCATCTTGATCCTGCTCTGCTTTCCCATCATTTGCCCCCTTGAACTCAAAGCTGTGACACAGAATAAAGAAATATGATGCGACATACCTGTAGTACTGGTGGCTAAAGTGACAAGATTCTTTCTTAGCATAGCATAGAGTGGGCTGTGAGAAATTTAAAAAAAAAAAGTGAATATGGCTCTCCATTAAAATGTTAAGTATATTTCTGATATGCTATTTCCCAACTTTCCCTATAATGTATGTATTCTGTGTTTTCCGCAGAATAGATTTCTCAGAATCTAAGAATTATTTAAATATCAAGATGTAATGCCCAAGCCCTTGTATTATTTTGTGACCATTAAAAAACTAATTTACATTTAATTTTATTAATAACAACAGTAACACAAGTAGGGAGATTTCCTTACAAGACAATCCCTTCCTTCTAGGACTTAAGTTTTACATTATAATTGGGACTGGGAGTGGAAGGGAGTCTACCAAAATAAGACAAAAGGAGCTGAGAAGAAACAGTCATCACAAAGCTACAGAGTGAAAGAGAAGACTGGATTCTCAATTATTAATTACCTTGTCACTGTGTTAATAACCACATACCCTATGCACCTGGAGAAAGTCACACAGCAGGTCAGAGTAGTTCTACTGTGATTCTCAGGAAGCTCTTCATCAACCTCAAAGTGCCCAGCAAGTCTACATTTCTTTCAACAATTCACTCTTCCCTTCTCTACAACTATTTCACAAAATTATAATCTAGTCACATCAAATTCCCTCCTACCCAGACACATACATGTGATGCTCAATCTACCTGAAGTTCTCCTTCAACCATTCCCCGTAACTGACACTTTAACTACCCTTCAGCTATCAGCACAAACAGCACTTCCTCAACTAGCACTTCTACCCCCTAAAAAACCCTATATTCCACCCCACAAAATGTACCTTCTTTCTGCAACATTGTTCATAGTATAGCTTGGAAAGCAATGGAATGATAAGGAGGAGAGCATCTCCAGTCTCATACAACTCTTTTAAGACCCTTAAAATGAGAAACTGTTGCTCACTGTTATATTCTCAGTGTCTTAGAGGCCACCTGACAGATGTAGGCTCTTAAATATTTGTTGACCAGAGAAATAAATAGTCATTACCATTATAACCTAAAGAGATTAAGTGGTGAGGTATAAGTGCCCAAAAAGATAAACCCTCAATCTTCTTACCTTGGATCTTTCACGGAGAAACTCTGACGTCCAAGTAGTTCTCCCAAAAGATCCCCACCACAGTATACCATGTGCTGTTCCTGCTGATCATAGAGCTGCTTCACCATTATATACTGGCCAAGATAGTGCATGACCTGCATGGGAATAAAATACCATGAAGAAACCTGTCCAGCTGCTGCCTAAAACACACATGCATGGCGGTGCTGTGTAAAGTGTCCTACAGCAAGAGAGTTGCCCCCAACTAGACTCATTCACTTATTATCATTCTGGACATTAACAAACCATTACTTTCTAGAACAGAAGTGTACTGGTCTGACAAGAAAAAAAGTGGTGAATTTCACCCAGCATTCCCTCAAAAATTTTCTCCCAAGTCTAAATAGAAGTAGTAACTTTAAATTTGCTTGATCAGAAAAATATTTTCCAAGTCCAAGGGCATAAAACCATAGGCATTTGATATGTGTTCATTTCAATGGGGGAGTGGGGGAAATAAAGTACAATGTTCAATATGCCATCAGCAGTATAAAGCAGCAATTAGCTTTTTTTTTTTTTTAAATTTATTTATGCATAGAATAGCTGGGGTATAGGCCAGAGATGCCAGGGGGTGAGAGGATTCACCAGAGACAGAGTGGGGAACAGAACAGGCAGACTGACCAAACAGAACAGGCAGAGTGCTGAGGGGAGCAGCGAGATAGGGGAGGTCTGCTGCGCCATGTGGGTTGCTCCCTGGCCGGCTGGGGATCGAACTTGTGCTGCAGAAGCTGCAGACTGCTTCATAGTGTGGTGTTTAACCCCTTGCGCCACCAGGGAGGCCCCTAAAGCAGCAATTATCTTTAATTGAAGACCAAGGCAGCAATTATCTTTAGGTCCCAACTTCTCAGGAATTTTAGATATTTGAACAGAAGTTTTTCTAACACTGGTCCCATTATATTGGAACAGTATTTCTAGGGTCCCCTCCATCTCAGACAACATATGTCAGTGAAAATACAACATCAACTACCTAGAAAAAACAGGATGGGGAAGAGCATCTACTGGAAGAAAAGGGAGGAAACTTTATGTCTGTCTAGCGTTCAGAAAAAAATAAATACCCTTTAAGGATACAAAGATCTTCTAAAACACTATTCTAATATGTATATAATACACTATTCTTATATCATACCTGCCTGAATACACATACTAAAAACCAGTAAAGTTTTTAAATTGGGAAATTCCCTTTATGCAGTCAGCACTCGTGATAGAAACAGACTGTGTCCAGGTTTTTCTCCAGTAAAACATTATGTCATGTTATGAAGGAAAATAGCATAATTGATTTTAACAACTTTATAAGTTTAACAAGTTTGGAAAAAGCCTTACTCATGAGAATTTGAGATATACAGTCCAAAATGGCACACTTACTTCAAAATGATGAAGGCAATATGAGTATTCTATAAAATCTGAAATGCCTCCAGTTTTGTTTCTTTAAGAGGCATAATGGCTCAGGAATGCAGCATTACTAAAAGCTGTTAAGACTTTTAGGGAAAGTCCAAAAAAACCCTGGTATATTTGGGAAGGGTTAGATATTTACTCTATTAAATAAATGCAAGCAATTGATAAAGTTTAACATTTTAATATGCAGTCTTTTCCACTTAAAGGATTCAATTTATTTTTTGTTAAAAAAAAAAAAAAACCTTAGGAGCTAAATAAGTTATTTAAATGCAAAAATGTTTAAAATAATTCACAGTGCTCAGAAGAGTATTTGACACATTTATAATGAAAAACCACTGCATTTAATCCCTGCCTGGCAGCACATCCTCTAAATCACAGTGTCATTTTTTAAATCTTGTACATGTTCTGCATTTTAACTCTTGAGATCAATGAACTTCATGGTTAATCTTGCTTAGCTGACAGTATACTTCAAAAGGAAATTTAAAGGAAATATGAAGTTCAACTTTGCTCAATGGGCTTTAAAAGAAGAAAAAAATGCTTCCATAGAACTACTGGAGTAGAATTTCCTTTCTGAGGCTTGATCTCAGAACCACACACTCACTAGCTTCTACTGCTCAGCTCTTTTAAAACTGAAACCTTTCCATGATGGCTTACCTCTTTAACAGTGAACATTTCACCTTGTGCACCTGCTGCCTGCAAAATCTTCAAAAGTGGCAATTTTGGTCGTACCTGATATAAATAAAAAATAAACCCATTTACATTTCAATTAGATTGAATTCTGAAGCCCTACAGAGCAAGAAATCTTTTAAAACCTTTTTCAACAAACCCTAGTAGATACTTATCTATTAATGCCCAATCTTCCAGTGCATAAGCTAACTGCCAATGATCAGAATTACTACTTGTTACCTTACTGAAAAATCACTAGGATGGCTATGAGGGTAAAGATGTGAGGATTGAGAGAACTTATGCTCTAAGTTGGTGGGAATGTAAAATGGCTCTGGAAAATTGTGGCAATTCCTCAAGAAGCTAAACATACAATTTCCATATGACCCAGCAGGTCCTCCCAGTTTTACATCCAAAAGAACTGAAAGCAGGTATGTAAACAACTGTATACCAATGTTCACAGCAGCATTATTCACAACAGACTTATGTCAAAACCATTTTTTATATAAGGCACATATTACCCTCATCAAATCCAAATTCTACCTTTACCATAGATTAAAAGACACAATACTACCCATTGTGCAACCTTCATGAAAACATGTAACAAAATTATGTATTTCTGTATGTTGGAGAAAAAGGTGTGGAACAAGACACACCAAATTAATATCAATGTTAGATAAAGGAGAAGGGACTCTGGAGTTAGGGAGGAGGTGGTCAAAGGAATCTTTATGTACAGACAAATACACGATAAAATAGAGTAATTTTTTAGAATACATTTGCTATACTTGTTACGGAGCAGCCCTGATATAAAACGGGTTGCCTGGCTGTGGGTCCTCACCTGTGCACTTAAAAGGGACTTTCCCCCTAACATACTTATAATTAAAACTGATTAAAAAACAGTGAAGTAACGAAAACAGGAAACTAACAGCCTCAGATTCTCCACTAGTCACCCATACCCTAAAATATGCTAATTTTCAAAAGGTACTACTGAGCAATCCATAACCTCCAAATATTTCATCAGTGACCAATTCAAATTTATGGATGTTGATACTGTTTACTCTTTTCCTAGCATGACATTTTAAAAAATAATCATTTTGGCTCTGCATAAAAATCCTAGAGTCAGTCAGGATTTTTAGTTACATGCCCCATTTCAATTTTTAAAAACTTAAAGGAAAATAGAAATGCCTAAAAATGATTTACCTGATTAACTTGTTCTGGAGAGATCCTGCAAGCACTGTCAGACGTTGAACACTGGGCAGAGGTGGGAAATGATGTCATTTTGGCAGTGAAGAATTTGCAGTTTGCTAATAAGTCTAAAAAGAAAAGAATAATGTTTTCTAAAATAAAAATTCTCTCTTTGGCATTCCACTGTGCAGTTATAGTAAAAAATGTATCAGGGCACCCACACAATGTAATACACCCATGATGAAGTTCTTGACACTGCCTGATTCTGCAAGAACCACAAGCACACAATTAAGAGTAAGAACCACCTATGCTGCCTTCAGGTGAAGCCTGAAACAGAAACAGGTTCGGGAATGCTCCAGCCCCCACACCAGTGATAATGAGTAAACTGTTTGCCCTGAAAGTCAAATTTACAATCATTATCACCCCAGTGGAGATCAGATGGGTTTTCATTATTCCTCCCCTCTTAGATAATACTCAAGAGCACCCCCTGGAAGAGATATGCAGAACTGGGGGAATTAACAGGATTAATAGATTTAAGATTCCAACAGGCTGGCAAGGAAAACCTCTGCAACAAGTTGGAGCACGTTCCAGCAAGGGACCACAGGCAAGGGAGAGTCAAAATAGCATGAGACAAAGCAGTTTTCAAAATACGCCAACCCCAAAGAGTATAGGAACTAAATACAGAACGGGTTAAACCAAGGTGGACATGATGGAGGACAAGAATAGAAAGAATGGAGGGAGGCCTAAGGAGACTAAAACCTGACTCACACATGGAGGTGGGGGTCGAGAGGAATAACATGATCATTAACCCAGCTATAGAGGTTGTCTGTTATAGGACAGGGAGAGGGGCAGCCCAAACCCCGCAAACCTGCCTATTCTACATGGGTTCTGCCATCCGCCGCATCAACACAAAACATAGGAGACTTTAATGAGAAGGAACTTTAATAAAACTAGGAAACAATACAGGTAAGGCAAAGAGTCTAGTTTCTAAATCAAGAACTCAAAGTTACCCATCCCCTCGTGGGTAAAACTCCATCCAAATGGGACTGGCCCAGAGCAAGGCCCCAAAGCCTGCCACAAGTCTAAAGCATCTTCCAGTGGGGACCCACAGAAAAGGGCCAGAAATAACCAGACAAGCCCGGAAGGAAAAGAGCAAAATCAACATCAAGATAAAAGCTGCCATTGTCCGCTCCCCATGGGTCTCACCCACATCTGGGTTACCCAGTCCACGACCAAAAGACAAGTGCAGTTTCTTCACGTGTCTCCTGGCTCCATCCTGCTTCCTTCCTCAGTCTCTTCTGCAGCTTCTCCTCTTCCTGCTCAGCTCCACCCTCCCTTGGGTGGGGCAGGGAACCTCCCCCTTTCCTGGGGACCACCCTGTTGCAGTTGGACTCTTAGGCACCAGTGTCTAATCACAAGGCAGGAGACCCAAGCCGGATCATGTAACAGGGTGGTCCCAGGAAAGGGGGAGGTTCCCTGCCCCACCCAAGGGAGGGTGGAGCTGAGCAGGAAGAGGAGAAGCTGGAGAAGAGACTGAGGGAGGAAGGAAGCAGGATGGAGCCAGAAGGAGACCTGGAGGAGGCGCATGGAGCCTAGAGACACGTAAAGAAACTGCTTGTCTTTTGGTCGTGGACTGGGTGACACAGATGTGGGTGAGACCCGTGGGGAGGTGACAATGGCAGTTTTTATCTTGATGTTGATTTTGCTCTTTTCCTTCCGGGCTTGTCCGGTTGTTTGTGACCCTTTGCTGTGGGTCCCCACTGGAAGATGCTTTAGACTTGTAGCAGGCTTTGGGGCCTTGTTCTGGGCCGATCCCATATGGATGGACTTTTACCCACGAGGGGACGGGTAACTTTGGGTGCTTCATTTAGAAACTAGACTCTTTGCCTTACCTGTATTGTTTCCTAGTTTTATTAAAGTTCCTTCCCATTAAAGTGTCATATGTTTTGTGTTGATGCGGCGGATGGCAGAACCCATTTAGAATAGACAGGTTTGCAGGGTTTGGGCTGCCCCTCTCCCTGTCCTATAACAATCAGATGCTACAGGGAGTAGAGCACAGGCCTGAGGATAAAGATATGGAGAGTGGGCCCACCCTGGAATCTCTGGTCCCCTTCTAGTTTTGCCTGTTACCCAACATCAGCAACAAGCAGGCTACTCCACGGAGCAGTGACCCCTCCCAAAGAGAAGAGGACTATATCAGTGCAGTCTCTGCACAGGCTCGGGGCAGCACTCCTGTTATAGGGCAGGGAGAGGGGCAGCCCAAACCCCACAAACCTGCCTATTCTAAATGGGTTCTGCCATCCACCGCATCAACACAAAACACATGAGACTTTAATGGGAAGGATCTTTAATAAAAGTAGGAAACAATACAGGTAAAGCAAAGAGTCTAGTTTCTGAAAGGTTTGGCGCAGTAAAGAAAAGGAGAGCCAGGCTACATTTCTCAAAGGGAGGGAAAGTTTATTGCGCCCCGGGTGGACCTCACAGACCCAAGGCGGGGGTCAGTGGAGTCGTGCACGTTGTTAGGGGGAAGCAGGGTTTTATAGGGTGGGGAGAGGTCAGGTGGGTAGTTGGGCTCCTACGGCGGGAAAAGTTTGTAGGGCAGGTAGAGGTTCTTTGTCTGAGATGAGACTCGTAGGGGGAGGGGGGAGGCTCATTGCCTGAGTCCTCCAGGCAGGCATCCGCATTCCTGCCCCCCAGGTGGGCTTCCGGGTAGGCTTTTGCATTCCGGCCCCTGCATGGACCTTTCAGTTTCTAAATGAAGCACCCAAAGTTACCCGTCCCCTCGTGGGTAAAAGTCCATCCATATGGGATCGGCCCAGAACAAGGCCCCAAAGCCTGCTACAAGTCTAAAGCATCTTCCAGTGGTGACCCACAGAAAAGGGTCACAAACAACCAGACAAGCCCGGAAGGAAAAGAGCAAAACCAACATCAAGATAAAAGCTGCCATTGTCCCCTCCCCACGGGTCTCACCCACATCTGTGTCACCCAGTCCACAACCAAAAGACAAGCGCAGTTTCTTCACGTGTCTCTAGGCTCCATGCGCCTCCTCCAGGTCTCCTTCTGGCTCCATCCTGCTTCCTTCCTCAGTCTCCTCTGCAGCTTCTCCTCTTCCTGCTCAGCTCCACCCTCCCTTGGGTGGGGCAGGGAAACTCCCCCTTTCCTGGGGACCACCCTGTTACACTCCCACTGCCCACCTGTGACGATGCAGGTGCTTCTTTTCACCAACTCTCACCCTCCGCAGGGCAGCAGCTTTCTGGCTAACAGTGACCTGTTCCATGCCGGGACATCTCTTCACTGACCTCAGCGGAGGCCACTCTCCTCAAGGCCGCTCGCCTGCAACCATGCAGGCCTCTTAGAGCAAACCTGTCCCTTTCCCTTTCCCTAATAAACCTATTCTTCAAATATAACTACTGTCTCTATCTCGTGGAGAAACTCGCCTGGGGAACTCGCCGCGTGCCGCTGAAACGGGAGCTCTGGGGATACCTCTCCCAGAGTGAACCCAAGGACCCTGCACTCTACAAAAACCACAGCAGACATATATGATCAAGGGAAGAGAGAACATGAATTGAAAGGGTAAGATTTAATTAAAATTTTCACTTCTAACTTTTCTCCAGAAAAAGAGCTACAGAGTTGAGACAATATGAAAGTGTGACATTTCGAGCTGACAGCAGCTTTCCTGTCCGCCTGTAACTATGCTGGTGCCTCTTTCGCCTTTTCCTGATAAACCTGTCCTTTCTGAAATGTATAAAAACAAACACTTCAAGCCGACATGGAATCGCCCAACATTCAGTTTAAACAAGTGGACTAAATCTCGAGGTGGCAGGTCATGGCCTAACATCTTGTTTACATAACCTCTGCCATTAGACTGACGACAGGTGACGCATTTAGACAAATGGTGCGATATCCTGACAAACGACTGTTTCACAAGTTCCTGGAAAGAGGGGACGGCCGAGGGCCCTGGCCATACAGATGATGGAAAAACCTGACCTAGAGTGACCGAGGTCTCATAGCGCGGCCCTGGTTGGAGATTTAAGATGCTAAAGTGACATGTGATATATGAAGTGTGGAACCCACTGCAATGCCAGCAGCCATGCACAGAGTGAGGCTGGCAGGCCTCCCAGCCCCCCCGCAAATCTTGACTCTCTCTGGGCTCTCTCTGGTGTCATCTCATGGTCTCTTCCTTTAGCAGCCGTCGCTCGTCTTCTCAACGTTCTCCAGCACAGCCATTTTCTGTTTGACACTGCCCTTATAGCCTCAGCCTCCAAGCTCAGGTGTGCCCACTTACACAGGCCCACACCATACTCCAGGTGTCCACCATCAGGGATGCCAGCTCCCAAGCACTTCCTGCATTCAAGGCCGCAGGAGATAGCCACAGGGGCTAGAGACGTAAAAGCCTGAGTATCACTTCCTTACACATGGAATTGCCCATTCAGTTGAAACTTACCCTCTGCACATGCTTTAGTGCAGTCCACCCTGATTAGATCCTTCAAAAATCCTTCAAAAATCCTTCCCTAGGGGCCTCCCTGATGGCACAAGGGGTTAAGCATCAGCACTATGAAGCTATCAGCAGCTACTGTAGCACAAGTTCAATCCCCAGCCAGGGAGCTGACCCATATGGCATGGCAGACCTCTCTCTCCTGTCTCGTCCGCTGCTCCCCTCAGCAGTGTATTTCAGTCAATCCGCCTGTTCTGCTCTCCACTCTGTCTCTGGTGAATCCTCTCACCACCCCCTAGCTCCCTTTGTAGAGTCAGCCTGGAAGGGTCCCTTTTCAGCACCGCTTCCTTGTGTTCAAGCTTAAGTCTACCATAGCCTTGTCTGGATTATAGTGTGTGGTCTCGTTAAATTCCTTTTTTTTAAACATACTTATATTTACTGCTTTTTTAAAAATTTATTTATTTATGCATATAAGAACTGGGGTACCTGCCAGAGATACAGGGGATGAGAGGATTCACCAGAGATAGAGTGGGGAACAGAACAGGCAGACTGACCGAAGTACACTGCTGAGGGGAGTAGCGGGCAACACAGGAGAGGTCTGCTGCTCCATGTGGGTAGCTCCCTGGCTGGGGATCAAACTCGTGCTGCAGTAGCTGTGGACAGCTTCATAGGGTGCGTCTTAACCCCTGCACC